AAATCATGATGTTTTACCAAGTGCTGGTTATACTCTTCATCATACTGTAGTGGCACAGGAACACAGGCCCGTAAGTTATCCCATACCCACACTGTTGAGCACTACATACACACCCCCACTGAACGTCAACACCGAGTTTACTGTCTCATTACCAAACATTTAGGTTAACTCCTCCCCCACCTAGGCCTGTCAGACTCCACCTCTCTCAAAATAATATAGTAATAATTGTCATGTTAATATATGGATCATCGGTACATAAAGATGATACATTAACCCAAACTAGTCATATTATTCGTTCTGTCTGCTGTACAAAATTATGATAGGCCTATAGTTCTTGTTTATCAGTGATGGAAGTATGGTTATAGTTTAAGGGCCTAAGCTATCCTAGTATAAGGTAGTCCTAAGTTAATACTCTTAAGTGTTCGTATTGGTAGAATTTATTTCTGTATGATAGTTTCCTGTTCTCTGGCGTATGTAATTTTTTTAAGGATTATATCTTGTTTTTATTATTGTTTTCGGTTCAAATTTACTTTTTTGTTTGGGTTGAATTATATCATTTTGTTGTTATTTTATTTCCACGCACACAAGTCTTTTCTTGCTGTGATTCAGAGTGGCATAACAGATGATATAACAGGTGCTTGATATAACAGTTGCCAACATAACAAGAGCGAATACCGCGCTTGTTAACCTTCAACAATAGCATAGGGTCACCTCCCCCACGGCTTCATGTAGCACTAAATCCACCTGTGTGTTGTTCCATTATCAGCAAGCTCTCCCAAGTGTGTACACGGACTAACATACACACAACCAGATATAGTATCCTAGTCCCCTATAATACTCTAGCGGGGGGGGGGGTCTCGAACCATTGTCTTTGACCGTACGGGGTGAATAGTAATAAGAACATAAGAATGGAGGAAACTACAGCTGGGCAGTCCCATTTACACCCAACCCCTATTGCTCATATATCCATCCAACCTAAGTTTGAAGCTATCAGCGTTTTCGAGTTAACGATGACATTTGGTAACTTGTTCCATTCATCCACTACTCTATTTCCAAACCAATGTTTACCTATTTCGCGCTTCCAAATTCAAACGTTCAATTTAAACCATTATTACGAGTTCACCCCTGTTGTATAGTTTATACCTTTGCAACGTCCCTTTGTTTAGCCCCTGACCTATTTATAATACCAATCATATCGTTTCACCTGTCGTCTTCGAGGGAGTGCAAATTAAGGAAGCTAACCCGTCTCTACTCGGCGTTCCTAATGCTCATATTAGCTTGTGTCACCTTCGCCGAATTTTTCAAGGATTTCATATCCATTCTAAATACGGCGAGACCAGAAACTGAACTGCGTAACCAGGTGTGGTCTGCCGCCCAAGATTTAGCCTTTAGGATGATCTTTGTCTTGTAATTAACACTCTTTGTTTGAAACTCTATACTTATTAGCTCTTGTTGATGAGCAAAACACATTGTTTATTTGACTCTAGGTCTTACTATCATTTTGGGTCACCGTATTACAGAGACGGAGCAGAATCTCGAAGAATTCAGTGAAAATGACATGATCTAATCACGCAAGATTAGGAACCTTGAGTATAGAGACAGGTTAAAGTATCTTAATTTGCACTCCCTCGAGAGACGTAGAGCGAGGGGCGACCTGATAGAGGTGTATAAGTGGAAGTCAGGGCTAAACAAAGGGGACATTACAAAGGTACTCAAACTATCCAACCAGCGTGAAATAGGTAAACACTGGTTTGGAAACAGAGTAGTGGTTGAATGGAACAAGTTGCCAAATATCATCATTAACTCGAATACGCTGAATAGCTTCAACCATAGGTTGGATGCTCATATGAGCAATAGGGGTTGGGTGTAAACGGGACTGCCCAGTATGGGCCAATAGGCCCGCTGCAGTTTCCTCCATTCTTATGTTCTTATGTTATTAGTGCGTTTATGTGTTTGCAAAATTCACATATCAGTGTTAAGAAAAAACAACAACATAAGGAAACATTACTTCTCTTTTAACCTTTATGATTCAAACTATAAAAACAGTTATATAGAAAAAAATTTAACTATTTAGTAATATATGAATCATTAAATAGATGAATTGAGGGGTGACTATTGGAAAGGTGGTTAAGGGGAGGAGGCGTAATAAGCCCTTGTGGTCCCCTCCTCCCTTGATGAAGATAACAGGGGAGATGAAGCACCGAGGAACAGTGTGTGTGTGTGTGTGTGTGTTAGGTTGACTTGTGATGGTGGTTATCAAGTGACTGTATTGTTAACCAGTGACTACAACGTTAATTGTTTATGGTTAACCAGTGATTGTAATATGTGAACACTGATGGTAAACCAGTGACACGTCCTGTTATTATATGTAGAGAGATTATAGTGTACTTGATGGCATATATCTTACGAGACATTTGGTATTATTCTCCTGTGTATATCTCTCTCTCTCTCTCTCTCTCTCTCTCTCTCTCTCTCTCTCTCTCTCTCTCTCAGTAAGATCAGACTATATTCATCTCTCGTATTTTCTTCTTCTAGGTCCGTGTTTTTTTTTGGATCGTGAATGGTGGTGTCATTAGGCCAGCTGGAGTGTGTGCTACGTGACGCTGAAAACATTACTCTCTGGGTCTTCGTCTCTCTCTGCCAACCGCTCGCCGCCTCCTCACACTGACGGGAATGAAGAGATGTTTTTTGTTTCTTCTTCTTAGTGGGAATTAAGTTGATGGTTTCCGAAGACGGTGAAGCTTAGAACAGTCGTCTCAGTGTTGTTAGAAGGTATTTTACAAGAGTGTGTGTGTGTGTGTGTACGTCGTCGGTAATATCCCCAGAAGAAAAAAGTTTGTGTGCTTGTTAAGAAACTTTGGTGGGTGTTCAAACTGTTTCGTAAGCTTATTTTTCTAGAGGAACAGCAGTGTCGTAAGTTTTATATATATATATATATATATATATATATATATATATATATATATATATATATATATATATATATATATTTAAGTGCAGATAATAATCGCTCGAAATTCCTCATCATAATTTAAAGTGGATTATCGGGAAAATTTCAGAGTGCAGATACTAGAAACTACAGCAAAGGTAAATTAATAACTAAAAACTACATAATATTGGATTTCATTGATATATAAAATACCATCGAGAAGTAAAAGATATTGATAGTTTCTTAATCTTCTATAGAAAATGACTTTGATTTTAATTAAGGAACGAATAGACACTTTGTAGTACTACACGTTGACAAACTTCTGAAAGTGTTTGTGTGTAAGATTCCAGAAACTCTCTCTCGGTCTCTCTCTCTCGACCTCTGTGGTGTACGTACTGCCGGGAACGTGTCTCGAGTTGTGTTTATCTGGCGAAAGTCTCGTCAACTTTTGTGTCGGAACCTCGATACTATGAACCAGTGTACTGAACCTCGATAATATAAACCAGTGTAATGAACCAGTGTACTGAACCTCTATAATATAAACCAGAGTAGTGAACCTTTATGTCATAGACCAGTGTACTGAACCTCGATAATGTGAAATAGTGTACAAAATCTCGATAATATGAACTGGTGTAATAAACCTCGATAATACAAACCACCAGTATAATGAACCTCGGTATTACAAACCAGTGTACTTAACCTCGATAAAACAAACCAGTGCACAACCGAGACATCACTAAATTGACCGTGTAGAGTGAACCTTGACCTACAGTAGACCAGCCTGGTGACTCTTAAAACACTTGGTTAGATTAGGTTTTCCAAGTGGTGAGTTTAATCGTGATCATATTTAGGAAAATAATATTCTGAAGAGGTTATTAATATTTTCAAGAGGGAATCAAAATCATACTGGGAATATATATATATACAATATAATCTGATGTATTTTATTAAGTGTTGAGTGAGGTGTTGGAAAGGTGTTGGTTCGTCCTGATACTGAACCGAAGCCTTTATGAAGTAAGTCGAGATTGTGAACCTTTTATGAAGTGAATTGAGACTAATAAACCGATACCTTTTATGAAGTGAATCGAGACCGAGGACAGTTTCCACCCGAGTGTGTCTGGAATCGAGCCAAGTGAGATCAAGGCGGTGAGGTGAGGCAAGGCGAGACAAAGGACACAAGAAGGTTATCTGGCACGCCCGAGTATACAAGACCAAGGACAAGATGTGGGTGTTCCTCTGGCTCCTACTGACGATGGTGACCGCGCAGCAACAGCAGGAGAACACGTGAGTATTTTTTTTATTTTAATTTTTATTTTTGGTACAGGTAGAGGTTTAGTTTTATTTTCCAGATGGTTTATTGGTTTACTTTGGTCATTCGTTAGTGCATAGGTCAAGGTAAGGTTTATATATATGTGTGTGTGTTTATTCTTGTGTTTTAAAGTTTTAAGTGAAGAAAGTTGACTTGTGTCTTCATAAGTGTTAAGTGTCGTGGATCAACTCGTGTCTTCATAAATGTTAAGTGAAGTTAAGTGTCGTGGGCTAACTTAGAAATGTCTTCAGGTAAGTGTTAAGTGACTGAAGTATGTATCGAAAACAACCCTAAGGCGATAAGTGGAGTCGTAGATGAAAAAAACAAAATAAAACACAAAATAAAAACACACCAAGCTTACTAGAATCACCACGTACTTTAAAACCCTTTAGACTTATATAGACTAAAATAATACCTTTTATGTAAATCAGTTTACTCCCCACTCCCCCCCCCCTGCCTTCCCCAGGTGAGAGGTGGTTGATCAGGTGAGAGGTGGTTGACTAGGTGAGAGGTGGTTGACTAGGTGAGAGGTGGTTGGAAGTGGTTGACCAGGTGAGAGGTGGTTGGAAGTGGTTGACCAGGTGAGAGGTGGTTGACTAGGTGAGAGGTGGTTGATCAGGTGAGAGGTGGTCGGAAGTGGTTGACCAGGTGAGGTGGTTGGAGAGTGGTTGACCAGGTGAGAGGTGGTCGGAAGTGTGGTTGACCAGGTGAGGTGGTTGGAAGTGGTTGACTAGGTGAGAGGTGACCGGAAGTGGTTGACCAGGTAACTTTGACGAGTCTAACATCACCTGAAGAGAGAGCATTATTAGTCGTCTGATGAAAAAAAAGAATCTTGTATTTTAACTTTACCCAGAACTCAGTTATATCGTCACGAGAATCAGTCTAAAATCTGGGGAAACTTTGAAAAAAAAATCCCTATCCTTTATAAGTTTGTAATATACTTAATCTTCCCAGTTTTACGTAGATGAAACAAAAATAATTCGGCCGTCACACAAATGATAATAACAAGATATACATTCAGATGTTAATGTGGCATATATATGAGGCTGTTTTGACACGAGGTGAAATGTTATCAGTACCATTGGCGCCGGGGGAGAGAGAGAGCAGTCATGGTGGTGGTGGGGTTGGGGAGGGCTAGGAAGGTGAGGTTGGGGAGGGCTAGGGAGGTGAGGTTGGGGAGGGGTAGGAA